TTATTCTATGCCGGGTGGTTCTCAGCCAAATCAGTTCTGCCCTTTAGGTGCAAGTGTGGGTATTTGTGGAGAGCTCTGACGTTGTCCCAGTGATGAGGCAAAACTGGTATGGTGTGGGTGTGGCTCAGGGATGCCAGGCGGCCTCCCATGGTCTACCAGGAACTGTCCCCTCCAGCAGAGCCTGGTGACGTCCCGCCAAACATTCCTGTGAGTGAAAAAGTTATTTACAGTGATCGGAGCCTACAGGCCAATCCTGCCTCCAAATGAGCTTTTGGGCGTTCTTAGAATATGCCAACAATTTTCCAAGAAGGTGTAAAATGAGGGAGCCTAGTTTTTGAAACTATGTGAGTGGGTAGGCTCTATCAACGAGAATTTATTTCCTACAGAGCATTTGTAATTTAAAAGGGAGCAAAGGATCTGAGAAGACTGAGACCCTCGTCCTTGCATTTCAAACTCTCTGTGAGGGGCTGAACTGCTCACTCAGCAGTCCTGTGCCTCGGAAGTGTCGGGAAAACCCTTAGAAATGCCTTTGAGGGGCGCTTGGGAGCCATTTACCCTGGGGACTGAGTGGAGAAGGAGCTGTAGCAACCTGGCTCAGGACAGGATTGTGGGCGAGGGAGAGGCGTGGCCTAGCTGCGTGTAGGCGGGGCAGGGGGCGTGGTTTGGGTGGGCGTGGTTGGTGGGGCCTTTCTGGCAGGTGGGTTGATGTCTTCGTGATCTGGCCCTGGTGCCTTGGGGTTTTAGTCCACGTGCTTAGGGAAAAAGAAGTCGGTGATCCCAGGTAACAACCCGGCTTCACCTTCCTTCCAAGTGACGCTGGATGAAAATATGAACCCCCTAAGCAGAGTGCTTCTCTACCTACGAAGTTTTGAAGGTGAGGGAGCCAAAATTTGTAATGATCCGTAAAGGAATGAAGTTTTATTTATTTATTTATTTATTTTAAAGATGCTCTATCTTTCGGTCCAGGAATGAAAAACTGTTCAGCAAGTCCTTTCAGAGACAACCTGAGGGGTCCCATTCCCAAGCAGAACTTCGATCAGGTGCCCGCACCTTAGCCTTATCCCAGACGCGCGTCCTGCACGTTCTCTCGTTTTCTACAGCAAGATGGGGAAGAGATAATGACAGTAACTTTCCCCCAAGGTTTTTGCGAGGATTAAAAGACGGTTTGTGCAAAACACGTTAGCATCACCCGGCCCATGACAGGCAGCAGATGGCAGTGTTGCTGACGTGTTCACAGACACCGGGATCAAGGACTTCCTCATCAATGGTAGGCAATTAAACAACTGAAGCGTTTTGTGTAAGTCTAGGTATGTACTGTAAGCTCCACTGCCTTCTCCGGGCAGGGTGTCAGGCATAACTTGACCTTCTGAGCTCCAGGTCATCAGCATGAGCTTCTGTTTCAAGCTCGATGGCCGTGAGCCCTGGCAGATCTGGGGTTCCCTCCTCGTAAGGTGTGTCCAGGGTGTCGTTCCCCAACAATGTCACCTGCTTGCTTCTGCAAAATGACCTCTGGGACTTTTGGTTGAATGAGTCCACATTCCTCCACTCCCTCCAAAAATGCTTCTGAGTTGCTCTCAAATGCTTTTGCATTTTCAGAGCCAGGGAGAGGGGAAGAAGTTAGTTTCAGTTACAGAGTGGGGCACTCAGGAAGCAGCCTTGGGGACAGGCATGGCCAAAGCTGCTCTGGGAGCCCAGTGGACGTGTCTACTTTTCTTCATGGGTCTTGCCCCTGGTTCTCAGCTCAGGGATGGACATCAACTCCATGATTTGGGGGGTATACCTTCTCCCAATCCCAAACACCCAACCTTGCAAAAGGATCACTCTTTTGTAGCCATGATTCTAGGACCTTGGCTTTGGTCCAAGACCATGTCACTCTTTTGTTTTACTTTGGAAAGAGTCGGAGTCACAAGTAGCATTGAAAGAAAAGCAGCGTCTTTAATCTGGAACATTGTTAAAAGTTCTGTATCGTACCATGGAGGGCCAAATGTCATCGCCTGTGCAAACGACCTCTCCACGGGACCCCTGCCGCCCACCATGAGGCTCCTCTGACTTCTCCATCTGCCCATGGCTGTGCCATCCCCTCCATGACCAGATGGAGGCCTTTTAGGAGCAGAAACTGTGTCCAGTTACCTGTGTAGCAGTGATAAGGACAATAGTCCTAACCCTTATCGAGTGTGCATCTATGCCAGGCTTTTAAAATTTTTTAAAATTTTTATATTTATTTATTTATTGGAGAGGAAGAGAGAGTGGGGAGAGGCAGAGAGAGAGAGAGAGGATCTTAAGCAGGCTCCACGCCCAGTGTGGAGCAAGATGAGGGGCTCGATCCCATGACCCTGAGATGATGACCTGAGGCAAAATGAGTCGAGCACTTAACCCACTGAGCCACCCCGGTGCCCGTCAGGTTCTGTGTTAAGAATTTTCTACACATCAAATTTAATCTCAAAAATCCTGTGAGGCAGGTTCTGTCATTAATTCTCCATTCATAGATGAGAAACTGAGGCACGCCCGAGGCTGCACAACAAGCACACAGCCCGGGCTGATGGACTGTTGAATGAATCGGTTTATTTCTAAGAGTATTTTTTCAGATGCAACACTCTGTTGAATGATGAGCTTCAAAGCTAACGGAGTGAGAGTCTAAGTAGCGGCTGAACAAAATCTGAAAGCCTAAGAGCTCATCCCATCAAGCATCACCCACTTTAGCTGTTAAAGGAACCCAGGTGCCCTTCTGCTAAGTGTTGTCAGAGGCAGCCGCGCACACCTGGACTCAGTCTCCCTCCAATGTCCCTGGGTCTCAAGGTTATGGCTGAGCCGTGCTGAGTTTTTCCTGACCTGGGGGGACACGCCTTCATGACATGGGCTGCAACTGACCATCCCCTGTGTATCCTCGCCAGCGCTCTGGCAAGTCTGAGGGTAAACTGAGGACAGGAGCTACCACCCGTGGTTAGCTGCTTACAAAGAAGTCTCAGCTTGTCCGTACAGAGGAGCAAGTAAACTTGCACGTGCCAGCTGGCTGCGGGATGTATTTTCATATAATGTAGCTGCTGAGTTGTGATGGGGCATGGCTGACGTGCTGGCACCTTCTATGCCTAAAAACTCTAAGATGATGACTTTCCTGAGCCCTCCCGGAGACCTGCGATGACAATTCACATAACAAGCAGAGACAGAATATGCTGATTCTGGTGAAGCCATCGCAGCTCTGGACGCATGCTAAAGTAAATTAATTTAGCCTTTACATCAAACCCAGTTAAATATTTTGGGGGCAAAAAACCAGTAATAGGCAGCTTCCTGGGACTGTTCTTTGTGATTCCGAATCTCGGTGTTATTTTCACTAACCGCTCTTCCCATTTTTCAAATGAACACATAGAGTGTCACGTTAGCTCGCGTATGTCCCTGTACACCAATGGTATTTTTTTTTTAAACGGAGAACTCCAAAAGCTCATAGTGACAAAGATGGTTTATTTCTACTTTACTTCTACTGGGAATTAAAAAAGGAAAAAAGTAATACGAGCCCCTCTGGTCAGTGAGGGTGGAAACTCTGTCCCCAGGTTTGCTTTCTGGTCGGCAAACCTTGGGTGAGCCGCAGAGACAAGGGTCAGCAGGTTACGAAGGCACCACTCTTGGAAATGCATGCACCAGGAGCTCATCATGACTCAGAAAAGCAGGGCTTTCCGAAAACCAGTTCATGTCCTATTACATGTCACTGACAACGTCCTCAAAACCCAAACCATTTAACTCGGCGATAGTTAACGTTTATTCTCCGATTAGGAAGTAGTTTGAGGGACACGGTACAAAAAAATAATAAGCATGCAGCCCTTTATTTAGTTTTGCAAAGTCTCTGCTTATAGTTCTGTATATTACATGACTGTGTTATACAAATACATTTATTTACAAAAAAACACTCTAGCTGTGCAAACTTGTTGCTTTTTAAAAATGTACGGGGAGCCCCCATTTCTGCCCATCCCGAGATAAAGTTTTAAAGCATGCATAAAAATTAACTTTGGTGTGGGAAAACTACTCTGTGCTGTCACATACAGTATTTCTGATGTCTATTTATATATGTACAAAAGTTGATCAGTTGACAGAACCGTACAGAAGTGTACATGTTAAAATTCACAATGCAATAGTGTGGGTTACCAGGTGTCCAAAAGCAAAGGAAGGGGTTCAATACTGCAAAGAAACCAGCTAGAGAATCCCAATATGTTTAAAAAAAAAAAAAAAAAAAGGAAAAGAAAAAAAGAGAAAGAAAGAAAGAAAAGCAAAGAAAGCTAGCTCGCTTGGGCTGCAAATTATCATACGTAATTTTCACTGCAGTGCAACAGGTTCGATAAACTGCCTTTGACACTCACCTCGGGGCTGGCTTGTGTCAAAGTTCACGGCATACTGTCTAGCACACGACTTTCACATGTACAATGCTATAGTATCAAAATGTTTTTGGCAAAAAGGATCTTGAAAGGAACCATGAAGTTCTGACAAAAATAGAAATCTGTAATAAAGCTAAATAACACTAAAATAAAAGGAAATATTATAGTATCTGTTTTACAATTTGTATAGTCACACTTGTGTATTTCTCTGTTCATGTCTAGTCTCCGTAATGAAAAATATTTTTGTACAAAACATACTAAAATTCTGGAATCATACATGTTTTACATGCTGAATACATTTCCCCCTCCCCGCTATCTCACAGGCACACTTCTCTCCTGCCAGCCACTCTCTCTGTAACACATGCTTACTTCATGTAACAGATATCGAATATAGACAGTAAACACTATGTAATTACAACAGCAACAAAGTAAAAAAAAAAAAAAACGAACAAGCTTTACCAAGATCTAGTCGTCCAGTATTTAGCACATACTTAGCATGAAGCCCCATAGAGTATAGCAATATGGTACATTCTCTTGTGAAAACAGTTGTTGAAGACTGTTGAAAAAAAAAAAAAAATCCCTTTTTTTTTTTTTTTTTTTTTAATGCAACTCCGACTTGTGCCTAATAGGATTTGGCCTTTAAGAGGTTTCTTTTGCTGTGGATGGGGTGGCTTTGCTGGAACTTCCATTCTGTGCCTTGTAGCTGGTGAGGCCGGGAGTGTGGATGGTTCTGATGCCCTTGGCACCTTGACTCAGTAAAGTGGGGGAGGCGGGGGAGGGCGGGGAGGAGGAGGACGGGGGAGCGGCTGCTCGGCCGTTTTGAGTCTGCAGTGAGAATGAGAGATGGTGGCCTTTACCTGCGTGAGTGGGGCTCTGAAACTTTAAGGAGCCATTAGAGACAGAGGGGATGAGGGAGGCAGAGGGAGCAGATCGTCCTGTCTGGGGGCTGAGAGGGTTAGAAGTAACCGGTGGCTTAACGGTAGGTGGGATAGGCAAGTTAGAGCTGTCACCACTAGAAGAGGGCACGGAACTGCTTTTCCCAGAGCTGGGAGAAAGGGCTGGAATCCTAGAAGCAGGTAAGGAGGGGCAAGGAGGCTTACAGTCCCCACCAGCTTTCTTAACACTTCCATTAGCCTGTGAATAAAGATGGCGGGAGACAGTTTGTCAGAAAGCTGGTAACACGATCGATCCACAGGGTCTGGCAACACAGCCCTTCTGAGAACCATTAAATACCAGAGACCAAACCACACCAAACCAGTCCAAGGCCTGAGCTAAGTCCTGTCGTGCTGTACTGAACCCGGCAGAAACCCCCAGAGTACGGAGCGCAGGACGTGCGGAAGAGGAGAAAAGGGAAGAACAGGTGTCGGTGAGAACAGGCACATCCAGCATCCCACTCCCGTCCCGGCGCCAGGCTGGCCATGCGTCTGGGGGGTGACTGGGGTGGGGGCGGGGCGGGGCCATCGTGACGGACAGTTAACGTGCCTCCAGTGCAATGCGGTCAGCATCTACGTTAGTACTGGTGACTTTCAGGGCAGCTCAAGGACAGGTCTGTCTCGCCTTCCCAACATGTTCTGATGAACCACTACCTTCACCAGAGAAAAGCCAAGGGGCCTGGCACCTTGTGTTAACAGTTAAACTTTGGAGTCACAAAGTAAAAGGTGTTTTACTGCAAGCATGCAAAAGCGTGGTGGAGAGTTTAACAAAGGTTTTTTTTTTAGACTTTCTTCATGCCCCAGATCCAGGATGTCTATGTAAACCATATCTTACAAAGAAAACACAGTATTTGGTATAAACTAAGTCAGCGACTTGCTTCTTAACTGCAATAGCGTCCATCCAAAATTGGGTTTTTTTTAAGGTAAAACTACCTGACGATACTGGCGGGGATCCTGCAGTTTGGACGGCTTGCCGGGCTTGTCCAGGCTTCCGGGTCTGCCCTTGGAGCTCATGGGGACTGGCATCCTGCTCGTCTGCGGGGTCCCAGCGGAGCCCTGGGGGGAGGAGCGGCGGGAGGGGAAGAGAAGGAGAAGCGCGTGAGTGGGTAATCGCGAGGCTCTCCCGCCGGAGGCAGAGAAGGTCAACATGAGAAGCCACAGCCCTACATGCAGGACAGATCGAGGAGACGGACATCAGGAGACACCACTGGGGTTAATTTGAAGAATCAAACAGAAGAAACTGCTCCACTACTGATCAAACGGATTTTAATGTGAGTATCAGAGCAATCATTTCAACAGCAAATGACCGACCCAGCGTCCTTGCGTTTACCCAACACCAATCAGCAACAGAGGTAAAAAGAGAATCGATTAGCTGTTAGACACCTAGTCGTTGTTGTTCTGAAGGTGAGGGAGAAAGTGTGAGTGAAAGGGATCGTGGCCAACAGACAAAAAAAACCCCCCAAAACAAAAAAACCCACAATGAGCCACCTGAAAGGAAGCAAGTCAATCACAAGACACCTGTTGCTAATGGTGATTATGGCAGATGTAAGAAAGCAGCTGGGTCTTTCCACTCTCCATCAGACCAAGATACCTTACGTGAAGCTGAAGGTACGGACGCGGGGGGCTCTGGGGCAGTGGGAGCTTCCTCCAGAACTAGCAGGGAGCGGGGAGAGGCCTCTGGGGCTCTGTGGGGCAAGCTTGCCACAGAATCTCTGTTGGAAGAGCACGAAGTATCAACTAGGGCTTTTGGACTCATTTCACTGATGGTGGTTTCAAGCTGTTTGATGGTCTGCTCCAGGCTGTCCAGCGTCCTGTAGGTATTTTTTCTAATTTCATCAGTCCTGGAAATCAGAGCTGTGCTCTCTGGACCGGGCGGCTCTTGTCTCCTAGGCGTGCTTCTGGGGGTGTCTTCAGGTTGGGACCTAGTAATTTCAAATCGCTTGGCTTCCTTGTGCTGCTTCAAGGTGCCGTCCTCCTCCTCCTCCTCGTAGACCACCACTTGCAAGGTCTTCTTCCCTGTTTTGGTTCCCGTGCGAATTGCCTGAGTGAGAGCCGCCAGCTGCTTTTTAGGGAATTTGAACTTGAACTTCTTCTTGGGGTTTTCAAACTGGTCATCTGTCCCGTCGCCCTTGCTATCTGAACTTGGAGACTCGGCTTGGCCCAACTTGCCCCGCTCCCTTTTATTCATTTCCTGTCCTCCTGATGTGTTAGCCTCGGCCGATGGGCTGTGTGGCTGTAGCTCCCATTCAGCCTGCCGTGTCGGTCTGGGGCTGCCGGAGGCCACCTCCTTGGGGAACTTTCCAGACGTATTGTTCTGGACCACTGGGTCTCCATTTTCCTCCTCTTCCTCCTCCTCTATCTTCTCCTCCATCATCATTCTCTCTAACTCCTCATCGCACTCCTCAAATATGGTCGAAAGTCTCTTATATGCGGACCGGATGTCCATGGGTTCGTCAAAAATGATGATAACTGGTTTCTTGTCCAGGCACACGACTGGCTCTTCGTTTTCACTTCCTCCTTGTTGGGAAGTGGTCTCTTTTTTGGCGTCAATATTAACCGTCTGTACATCTTCCCCCTTTCGGCTCACTATGTCTCGGACCTCCCCACTGGAGAGAACCTGGACCGCGGTTTTGGTAATCATAAAGGCAATGTTGTCGGGGGTCACGTTTTCCTCAGTGGGAGAACTTGGGGTCGACTCCCCGTCCTCACTGGGGTTCACATTCGCATGCCGCGTGCCCCTGGGTCTCAGGACGACCTGGCTGAACTCTGTCATGGGAACCTCTTGATCATGAGTTTTGACATCACACGGGCTCAATTCAGTTGACCTAGTGGGAGAGGGAAGGTCACACCTATCAGTATTTTCTGGTCCTTCTAGACCCATCTCCTTTGTCTTTCCGTAACTCATCTTCTGATGCTCCGTGTCAGAGACAGGGTACTGAGGTCCTGAGCCCTTAGGTCCTCTGTTTATTACAACTTCTGATGGACAAGTGTCAGGGTGGCTGGAGTTGACTTTAGATGCATTTTTCTGGGAATAGTTTCTACTGTCTCCAAATAAACTCTTGTTGGACATGGAATTTTCCTTCTTTAGGATGTCTGTTTTGTACTCTGAGGTTCTGGATGCATCAAAAATACCATCCCCCAGGGCCATTTCCCACTTAGGGTGACCAAGAGCTGCTAGAGGTCTTGTGGTAACCTGAGAGGGACAGTGGAGGAGGGAAACCACACACATTAATCAGAAACGGATCCACAAAAGAAGGTAATTAATCTGCACGGTATCATTCGGAACACAGATGTGCTACACTCACCTTCTGGGATTCCATTTGGGGGCCATGTTCATATTCAACATCAGATTTCCGTATGTCTTCATGGAAAAATTCCAAATTCTGGTAGAATAGTGTAGGACATGTTACTCCACAAAACCACATCCCGCCCAAAGTGGACTACCACTAAATTGTTCCTTTCATTACACTTCCAAACCATGCGGGCCAAGCACATTGGTTACACACCAGTCCGAAACCTACACAACTCTGTTTACCTTGGGGTGCTCTGTTCTCCAACCTCCAAAAACGCCCTGTGTTTGCACAAGATGAAAATCTCAATTAGCCAAGTATTTTAAGTATTTTGAATTTTGTGAGGGAGCAGCTAAGAGGATAAAGGGACCGATTCTGTGTCAACACGTTCTCTTTCCAGCATCTGATGGTGAGCCTAGCAGAATCTAAAATGGGAAGAGGGGTGTGGAGCTGTGGAAAGCACAGATCTCAGCAGGCAGAAGATTCTGATCCTGATTCTGATCCTAATCCAGACCGGCCACTTCGCTGTGTTACCTCCACTTTTCTGGGCCTCAGTTTTCTTGCTTATAAACTGAGGAACTAGACCAGATTTTTCTCACATCCCTTCCAGCTAGATCTTTCACTACACTCTCTGCTTCTCTCACGGGAATTGTCCTATAAGGACTCTGCATTTGTTGGGTGTGGTACTTGGAGATGAAAAAAACCCATTATTTTCCCCCCTGGTCAAAGGACAGATGAAAAAGGTACTTGCATTTTTTTTTTTTTTTTAACTTGGACTCGCCAAGTAACGTGTCACGACAACCTTCAAACTAACAAGACCCAAGGTGATCAAATCCAAATTCAGAATGGTAATGTCGCCAAAACATCTAAACATTTCCAAAGCAGACATGTGAGACTACCATGATGGCCGTGACATCGTAATTCAGCTTCTAGTCTCTAAATCCTCCAACATGGAGCGAAGGTCCCCTTCTGAGGCTCTCACCAAGATTCAGGGCGTGAGAAGCCAGCGGGTGAGGACCAGGTGTGGACAGTGCTTGACCAGGAGGCGTGGCCTTTTCCGGCCCGTGTGTATCTGTTTCCTCGGGCCCTGCTGTGACACTAACACTAGCTATGCCTCCTCGTTTCCCAGGCACCACTGCCCTCTCTTCTTGCTGCTGAAGCCTGAGAGGAAGAGGCGGTTATGGATGGGTCACAGTCCCAAGGAGATTGTTTGGTTAAAAGCAACGACAACATAACAAAGCACAATCACGAGGTCCCGCCCATCAACCCCGCACAATCCCACCGCCATGTTACAAATGGAAAGAGCGTCCATACACATTCAAGGAGTAACATACAAACAACAAAGTCAGTATTAATCACATGGAAACATCATATAGGATACAAGGTGCCTTAGCTACCCAGCACCTCCTGTTTAACTTGCCCCCTCCCGGTAAGGCCCCCAAGTGTGTGCAACGATTCGGCTGGTGTGGTTGAACAACGCCATGTCTAACGTGGGATTTTCAGCTTGGATTATTAAACAACTAACACATCCAGTGAAAGGTCTCAGGGAGAATAAATGAGGTCGTGACCCCAAACCTGGAGTTAGCGTGCCATGCTACGACTCGAGTGAGGATTTACCTAGGGGCTGGACAAGGAATGGGCGTGTAGGACACCGGGCTGCTGAGGAGTCGGACTGGCCTCTGTTCTGATCGGTCTGAGCCCATGCCATCCCCATGGGTAAGTGTTTCAAATCTCACCCAGGGACATACATATTTTAGAACAGATGGAGTAGCAGCCATAATCTAACGAAAGCCATGGAGATAAATGTGCCAAGGGGCAGGTTTCACGTGACCTGTCATTTTGGTCACTGGGCTAGAGAAAAGAATGAGCGTATTAAAGCAGGCGCGCTGACCTCACCCAGGGTAGCTTGGTCACAAAGGTCATGTCATCTCACAACATCTTAGATAGGATCTCAATGGTCAAGACTCTGTGTAAAAAGGTAATTAAGCCTCTTTGTATCTGCTTCTAGGCCCTGAGATCTGGATTGTTCCGACAACTATGTAGCAAGCTCACGATGCACGTGGGCAATGAGCCAAAAACATCAGAGACACAGTTACAGGAAAATTGCATACAGGTGAAGTACTAGGTTAGTGTTTCACGACAACAGAAAATTTTAAGGAAATATTTGATTTATAGAAGGGTAGATGAATAGACTGCGGAGAGGTTAATACGGATACAAATTTGGGCACAAGTCCAATGCTCGTCATTATTGTGAAACAGGTCAATCTACTGAGTATAATGATCTAAAATAAGCAGTAGAGTCCCTACAGGGCTCTTGTGACAGACCTGCTTAACCTGAGGGACTCGCCTGAGATGCACGAGACTGGAAGGATATGGCTTTCTAACTGCAGGGCAAGGAATCACATGCAACTTTTTCACCAATTAGTAAAATTCTGCGAGACAATGATTGTCTCTAGAGGGATCTTCCAGAACTTCCCGGTTCCCAGGCAGTGTTTTAGCCAGAAACAGTCCCATTAGTCCAGGCATGCCTTGTGATTCAGGGTCTGCGAGGCTCCTTCATGAGCTGGTTTTAATAAGGCCACATAGGGCAATCCTACAGACTGGAAAAGCAAACTATTTCCGATACAGCATCATGGGTTCAATCCAGATTAACAGATTTTATCGTTAAGTCTCATAACCTCTGCTAGTGCACAGATTTCCCCTCACCCCACCTATAACAGTGTTACATGGCTGATGGAAGTTTGCAGGCGGCCTTGTGATAGCTGTGAGAACAGGGGAAGGAGGCCGGTCTCCTCAGCAGGGCCTCATGGCTGGAGCGATGCGCCCCAGGACTGTATCTCTTGAAGGATCACGTCTGAACAGCCCTCTGATTTGGGATCCTCTCTCCCCCACACTCAACGAGCTTTCTTATACAGGGACTGAGGTATCCAGCTGGTGTTGCTATTAGGCTACACGGCGGCTGATCTGGTTGACTTTATCTATGGGATGCTAGAACCTTCGATTTCTGAAATAAACGTTCCTGGTGAAAAAATGCTAGGACTTGAGTTGGTCATGATAACCTTTCAATCCTGACATGTATCCTGAAGGCTTCCTTCAGATAAGATGGCTCTATATCCAAAAATCAAAAAGCTCCAGATAGGACTTAAAAAGCTGACTTTAAGAAAATCAGGCTGATGTCCTTTCCCTCGTACTTATGCAAAGACAGTGAATTCTGGTTCAGAGCTGGGACATCTGTCTGGATGCCACAGTGTGCATCAGCACTAAACCCAGACTGGACTTGTGGTCTTGCCAGGGATAGTCTGAGAATGTATCATACTTAATAAAAATTCTATCTGGCATCCTCAAACGTGTGTGCAAATACATTTGTGTGCATTTCCATGAGGGTAACCCTGGGGACGGTGGCAGACGTACAGCTCTGCCGTATGTCTTCTTCCTAGAGTCCGAGGAAGTAGAGTCCTATTCTAACATAGGTGTGTTGGACCTAGAAGACGTGTTAAAAATTAGAAAAAGCGCTACACACTCGATCAATGTTTCTATTTTTTTTTTTTTTCTGGAGTTCGAGAAAAATCTTGCCAGGCGTGTGCATACTCTACAGTTTGGGAAGAGAATGCCTGAAATTCTGCACCGACTACTGGGTACAGTGCACAGGAACGCAGAGGTCACAGGTTAATCTCTGATTAAACCTCAGGCTGTGTCTGCATTAGTTAAAAAAAAAAAGGTGAGAGAAAAAAGGAGAGGGCACAGAAGGACAGACGCACGAGCAGTGTTAGTGTCAGAGCAAGGAAAGAAGGACCATCGGACTGTGTGGCCAATGTCTCCGCCACGTTACCTTCTTCTCCTTGGCTGGGACCGTGGCCCCCGGCCTAGTGTCTTTAACGTGACTGTCAGCCCGGGACTGCTCAGCATGACTGTTTGAATTTACATCCATAAAGGAACACTTCTGGAATGCCTGAGGGATTAAAATACTGAGGTTAACGTGGATCCAAGTGCAGCGAGGAGGACGGAGGGAGGAGGCAGGGGGTCCAGAGGCACAGAGACCTCAGGCCAGGCCTGCATGCGGGTCACACAGAGCCAAGGAGACAGCACCTGCGACACGGGCTCTGCATCTGGGCCTCGGGCACCAAAGGTGAGCACAGAGCCAGGGGCCAAAGACTTCCTTAGCGTCTGCGCCCGGCAGGATTTACCGACAGGAGTCTTGCAAGGAATGCCCTTCCTTCCAGAACCTCATTCGCACTTAGTAGGGCTTCTTGCTTTGACCTTTAAAAAATGGTGACTATGTAAGTGAATGGAGCCAGAAAACTATCTTTTTTTTTTCTAGGTCCTTTTCTTCTTTTTTTTTTTTTAACCAGCTTTCTTGAGGTCCGAGAAAAAGGGGCACAGGATATTGCAAACCTTTCCATCTTACAAGAGAAGTAAGTCATCCTTACCAATTCATTGTCCATGGTAGTACTAGGGACTCCCATGCTCTGGGGCGTTCTGAGGGGCACTTAGAGGAAAAAGAGGACATCTTTAGCACCCCGGGATTCTGAGTGGTCTCGGGGCTGCCTGAGCCTCTAGGCCTGTCCCTGAACACTATCAAATTTGGCTCGAGGAGCCCACGTCGGCTCGTGTGCACACGGGGCAAGGGAGTTCTCAGACCGAAAGCCAAGGCTGCGGCGCTGGGGCACAGAGGGAGGGACGATACGATCGTGACAGCAAGAAAGATGAAGAACCCCAGCGCCCAGCTTCTTGAAATCGGTGGTTCCCAACTCAACGCCATGTCACCTTGTTAAAAAACAATTCTGTTACCCGGGTGTCACCCAAAACACAATTCATTCAGAGGCCTTTTCTCCCCTTAAAAAAAAAAAAAAAAAAACTCCCCCAAATAATCAAATGTGCAGCCGGGATTAAAGGCCAGTTATTTAAATGGAAAAAAAAATCCCCAAAAATTGCCTCATATTTTCTTAATGTCAAATAGGGTCCTTTGGAAAGGACTCTGTGGGCAGAACGAATAACCCGTGCCCACGCCAAGTTAACTATTTCAGTACGGTCCTGAAATACAAATGGAGCCGGTGCCTGGGCCCTTCCCGGCCTGCTCTCCCCCATTCCACTCGCTCCCCATTCCTGCAGTGCTGGCTCCCCCTTGCAGGTCCTCAGACACCCCAGTCCTCGCCAGCCTTGGAGAAGCCCACTAAGGCCATCACCGTCTCCGCTGGGCTGTTAGCCCCTGGACTTGGAAGCCTATGGCTTCCTCTGGTGCCTGGTACCCCAGAGCGGGCAGGTGTCCCACAGGTCCATTCGGAAGCTTGCTCCTGCTCCTGGTCCTGCCTGGGGGCACCTAAGTCCAGAGCGAGCAGCTGACCTGCTGAGCCAGCGGGTTGGGTCCATCCCCACCACCCCCCACCCCCACCACCCTGCCAGAGGGCTGTCTGGCTTTGGCTAAGTTAGGCTTAGAGCACTTTATTTACCAGTATTACCTAACCACCACCAAGACAGCAAGGAGCCAAGTACTCCAGCCTTTGAAAACGTTCAGCCAGAGAAAGCACCCGCGAGACAGACAGACATCAGTGGAGGGAAATGTTCTCAGGCCACGAGCTCTAAGAGGCTGAACACATAACCTCTGTTTGGGGCCTAGTGCGGGGTTATTCACGAGCCTGAACGTCTCTGCCTCTAGGATCAGCAGTGACCGTTCACCTCGCACAGGTTTAACATCATCAACCGTTTTGTTGTCCACCTGAACGAGACTGGACCAGGACCAATTCAGACCATGCTGTGGGCCAGATGCTACAGCGAAGGGTCCCAGAACCTGCCTCCATGTCCTCGGACAAGACCCAATCCCCCAGCAACAGGCAATCTTGTCACTGGACACAGCCAGCGTCCTCGGCCCGGGGGTCCTCCCTGGATCGCGGAGGGACGGACACCCCCACGCTCGCAACTCTTGCACGTGTCACTAACCTTAGCAATCTAGGGTTCCTACGAACGACACTCTCTAGCCATTCTGAAAACCTGTCTGCAAGCTGACTGGTGAGAGGGGTGTCCCAGGCCAGTCTCGGAGTTTTAGTGAGGCCCCAAAGGGCGCACCCTTTTCCACAAATCAAGCCAGGCGCCCTGGAGAAGCAAATTGCTCAATTTTGACAGTTACCACCCAGGAAGTCAAAACAGAACAGCCGTGGCACAAATGACCCAGCTGGCAAGTTCTCTCTGCTCCATGGGAAGAATGCGGATCCGTGGGGCCTGCACAAAGCCAGGAGTACGCTGGTGTACAGGCGGCACGTTCTGGAGCCCTACGTGGTTGTGGTCTGACCATCTGACCATCCAAAGGGGGGAAAACATCCTAGAATAAGTATGGGTCAAAATAATGAAATATTCTATGAACAACAGACTTTGGTCTGGGAATTCTGCACATGTCGCTGGTTAGAAAAGTTTCTCGAATGTACACCCAAGGTAGACTCTCAGCCACGATTCGAAGGCAAGATAAGCTTCGAGTATAGTTTCTGCAGCCCACCCTTCATCCTATGAAGGGACTGTGTCAATTAGTTAAAAAATAAAAATCCAAAACTAACATGTACGGTACCATTTCTCAAACAGGCCAAAGAAAATGGGAAACAGAATCTTTTACCTTGTCAGAATATTAGAAAGGGGACGTTGACAACGAATGAGTGCCTGGTATGGAGGGCAGAAGGCCTAAGGGCAGCGATTCTAAGTAATAAGACCCAAGGATGGGGACCCCACCTGAAGCAGGCCTTCGTCCTGATGAAGACAAGACAAGGGCTGGTATTTCGGATCCCTGCCTTCAATTGCTTTTGAAATGACACCAACTATCAAGACTGAAAGGAAAGTAAATCCTCTCAGCCAGAGCGGGAAACCTGGCAATTGATTTTCTGTATGACCTTCCCGAGCTGTTTTGTGAAATGATCATTCCTTACACATGTCATGAGGTACCCTGAGGGCCTAGTTGAACGCCATCTTGGAAAGGCGGAAGCCAAGGCCAGAACACGCAACTTTCAGGGCCTAGGTCCAAAGGTGCCTCGCCAGCCCTCTCCAGCTAACGAATGTGTGAGAGACACAGCCGCAGAGTCCCAGACAGGAAGGCAAGGAGCCACGGCCACCTCATCCACATACCTGCAGTTCTGCCATTATCTTGTCTCCTTCCTCTTCTTCCTCCTCATCCTTGGAGGAGGAGGTTGTGACTGGTGGTGGGGATGGGGTCCAGGCAGAAGCAGGCTCCTCCGTCGGACATTTTGTGGCTCTCGCCTGGGGGCTCGGTCCGGCATCTTCACTGCTTGCCTGTGGAATATTCAAATCACAAAAACTGGCTTAAGCCCTGCAGGTTCCGGCAAAAAAGAGGGCCGGATCATGAGAACATGCGCTCCCCTACTGCCTGGTGTGCTGGCTTCCTGCCTCTTCAAATGCAGTTCAAAGACTGTAACGTCCCCCTTCCATTCAGTCTGGGTTTTGGTTTGCACAAGCTGCCATTTTGTGAATGGCCTTAAGATCTTTAATAAAATTGGAACGACTCAACGTGTGGTGCCTTTAAGAAAGGCCCACCCATACGACATCTCCTCAGAAACTGTCTTTCACATTTAGCACAAAAGACAAAACTTGCCAAGTGAAGTGGAAACTAAAACTCACTGAACATCTTTCCGTATGGACTCGCACAACTGTGTCAGCCAATCTCACTTAGCGTTGTAGGATGGTCTTTCCTTGGCCTCCTCTTTACCCACCCCCCCATTTTCAATCTTATGCCGCCTTGCTGGGGAAGTAGTTTGTAATCCGCATGTTACATTCTTGCAGCCAAAAGTCAATTAAGGATAAAGCTCGTGGTGCTGAGTCTGGCCCCAAAACACTGGCTGACATTTTCCCATCTGTGGGGCCTTCCTGTGATTTTAGCTTAGTCAGTTCTCTCCTCTGCCTCACTACAGGTTGCGTCCTAAAGGAGAATAGTGAGAACCTTGTCTAAGGGTATCATCTGAACCCGGAGACCAGTTTCCCAGCACTTAACCCATCAGACCTTAGCGGTGGTGTTCTCCTTCCTGCTGGTGTAGACCACATCGCCGGACCTCGTGGTGGTGAGCCCTGATCCTGGCAGGTAGCTCCGCCGAGGGGGCGGGGGTGGAGGAGGCGGGGACTTACCCCCCAGTTTATCCAAGTCTTGTTCTGAATTCGGAGAGTCTTCTGGAAAACAGTGTGTCATTGAAAAATCATCTTTTTGCATGATAACATCCAGAACAGGGTATTTCTAGAAACTTGATGCAATCTGACTTAAATATTTCTCTAGTTTCTCCCTAGTGTGATGATTAAAGGTACGGACCCTGAAGCCAGACTCGAAATCTCAGAAAGATCCTGCTCAAGTTAAGTTACTTCTCTCTGCCTCGGTTTTCTCATCTGTTTAATGGGTATTATTATAATCTCCACTGGGGGCCTGTGAGGATGGAATAATATACAGGAAGCCTTTGGGACAGTGCTTACTGGCTTATTGTAAATGCAATATGTAAATGCAAGTATGAGCTATCCCTATTCAACAAAAAATCTGGGTTTTACTTGGAGAGATGAAATACAGGAGCCTAACGACAAATCCAGGGGTGCCTGGGTGGCTCAGTCGGTCAAGCGGCTGACTCTTGCTTTTGGCTCATGTCATGATCTCAGGGTGGTGGGATCGAGCCTCGTGCTGGGCTCTGCACTCAGTGTAGAGTCTGCTTCTCCCTTGCCCTCTGCTCCTCCCCCTACTCCCTCTTCGATCTCCAAAATAAATAAATAACATCTTAAAAAAAAAAAAACCAATCCAGAGCCCCCCACTTAGCCTCTAAAGCCTCCAACGTGTGAGCAGGACGGGTTGGAGCAGGGGAAGCTAGAAGAATGTGGCCGCTGAAGGGCCAGAAGGAGAGTGGGAGGCAGACAGAGGAGAAAACAAAGTCAGGGAGAGAGTAGAGTTTTGGTCACAGCTGTGTGGTGGGAAAGGGCTCTTCGCTAACGGAAGGAGGCAGTAAACACAACCACAGAAGCAGAAGTTAGGATGGACACCACAGGTTAGAGAATGCAGACACCAGCTTGGCTTTCCCCAGAGAGCTGCCCGCAGAAGGCACTTAACGAAATGGAAACCGTTAGCCCCATTCCTGCCTTGGTCACTGAGCCTCACCTCCGCCCTTCGCCAGCACTCAGGCCTAGAGCTCACCAGAGTGGGAGAACTGCACACGGACAGTCGGGGTTTCCAAGTGCGCTTTGCCCAGCTCTCTCTAGGGACAAGGTGCCCTCCCTGGAACATGTCTGTCTCTTCTGAGCAACCCAGGCAGAGCTGATTGAGTAGTTTCTACTTAGAAATTAGAGTAAGGATGTGGGTAAATCATCAGGGTGAAATGCCCGCGATTCCGGGTAGTGGCCAGTTCTAGTCTGGTGCACCAGGGTGCCGGTTGACGAGGCCAGAGCACACTGGGCCCCCTGGCTGGTGCCTAAGCCAGCAGCCCAGCCAGGGGATGCCCTCATCAGCTCTATGGGTCCCCCCAGGGACCGGCACAGGCTGACAGGCCCCGGAGGTGGGCCCAGGTCTCCTCTCCCGTGTAATGACAAAGTCTGCCTCTGTTTTTTTGTTGTTATTGTTTCTTTTTTTAAAAGATTTTCTTTATTTATTTGAGAAAGAGCAAAATATCGAGAGAGAGAGAGAGAGAGAGAGAGACAAAGCATGAGCTGGGGGGAGAGGGAGAAGCAGGCTCCCCGCTGAGCAGAGACCCTGATGCAGGGCTCGATCCCAGAACCCTGGGATCATGACCTGAGCTGACGGCAGATGTTTCACCTACTGAGCCACCCAGGCACCCCAAAGCCTGCCTCTTTGACCAGCTTCAGTGGGGCTCCTCTGAGTCCTCTCTTCCACTAGGCTTTGCCCTTGGTCGACTCAGCCCAGTTTTAGCAAAGAATTCTAATAAGTCAATTAGCAAGACATCTGATCTGGTTCTTCATTCCCCGTGCCGGAGAGCCAAGCCCTCAGCCTGCCTTTAGCACGAATCTCTCTGCCCTTGATATGCTGTGTTCAGAGTCGAGTTCAATTTCTCTCCCCGACTGCAGTGGTCTTGAGTCAAGTCTTCCTTGTTCTTTTTAACAAACAGCTCTGCGAATAATTTTTCTATGGCACGGAATGAGGCTATAGTCCCTAAAACCTTCCAGCGACCTTTAGGAGCTAGTGGTCCATGCCCATTAACGAAGTAGTCAGTGCACACAGAAGAAATACAAAAAACTTTTCTTTAAACCCTCAGTGTAGAATTTTACCTCATTAGTAAAAACACAAATAAATAAAAAAAAAAATAACATCCATGCCAAATAAGTAAAAATGATAGGAATCAACGTTTGCAGGAAATGGCTTGGACCCTTATGCATTTCTGGTAGCCTGTCCATTCGTGGACTCCGACAGGAAGTCAGGCCACATGTTAAAAAAAAAAAAACAAAAAACAAGGGCATCTGGCTGGCTTTGTTGGTGGAGCGTGCGACTCTTGATCTCAGGGGTGTGAGTTCAAGCCCCATGCTGGGTGTAGAGTTTATTTAAACATAAAATAAAAAGAACGACAAGAACATTTTAACTTAGTGAAAGATACTTCGGAAACTAATTTTTTAAAAACATTTCATGCAAATTTTTTTTACTCTGAAGGAACACAAAGCCCAAATGCAGTAAGTTAACAAAACGTAGTGTTATTATTTTTGTTATATAATCATGGAGAAGGAACAGTTCTAATTTGTAACTATTTTTTAAAATAATTTACTTGTGATTCTAAAACATCCAGGGATTATCTGACAGAATTCAAAATGAGGAGAGCCAAATTAGGCCAGATAGAAACAGAAGGGGGGTAGATCCTTCCCCCATGAGACATTCCTCACAAGAACTCTGGGAGAAAAGCCATCTTGAGGAGAGCAGAGCCGTCCCTCCCAGGCCCCTTCTTTCCCGGGCACGTGCTGCCTCCCCCTTCAGGGTCCCTAAACAGGCCTCCTCCCACAGCTGGCAGGTGGGGAAAGGAGGTGAAAAACTTAGCACAGGCTCATGGGGAAAGTTTCCATGAGTGGGATTTTAGAGCAACGTTGGGGAAGGAAAACCCGAGACAGGGTTTCAGTGGTTATAAACTGTATCTACTTCCATGTTCGTGGACATGCGAGTCAAGATGGCGATTCCTCCTCAAATTACCTTGGTTCCTGGATGAGGCATCCCTGAATTTGGCTCTGAGACACTGGGCTGTGAGTATAATGGTGTCTCTGTTCTCAGCTCTGAAGTCAGAGTGAGGCGTGGGGCTCGTTGGTTGGAGATTTAGTAGGCTGGGTTTTCTAGCAGTTATTTTATGTTGTTAATGACACATTGATGATTAACTTCCAGAGTTTAGCTGGTTCAATGTACAATCTAATAATTTTGATTTAAAAAATGCAATTTCCCCTTATGATCTAATATCCCCTTGGGAGCTCATAAAGGCTGGTATTTTCTTCCTGCAGCAGATGAAAAGCTCTTACTTTAAACGCGGCCCTCTTATCCTCCCAGCTGGTACTGTGAAGTGTCATAAATTCATAGGAAATGTAGAAGCTAGGAATCTAAATTTTACCTTACTGGGCACTATTCTGGTACCCTAATGCAGAACACAAGTTTCCCTGCTAGGGTTTTGGGTGAAAAAGCAGGCGTGAGAATCCAGTGACTGTTGAGGATTTGTTCTTCCTGTTTCACAATTTTATCAAATTCTTGAGACGTGAGAGATTGGTCCTGTCGGCCAGCACGTGCTCCAGTGGGCAGCCAACCGGGCCCAGCTCTGGGAGCGCCTCACCTGAAAGTTCCAGCTTGTCTCCTGGGGCATCGCCCTTTGGTTGTGGGCCCACGGCTGGTGGCATCTCCAGGTTTGGAATTGACTTCATGATATTGGCCTGAGCTTCTTCTAGCAGCTTCTCAAACTCTTTCCCGTTATAGTGGTCCAGATTGTGCCTTTTCTCTTCCCATTTTCTTTCTGCTTTCTGAAGGAAAATCACAAGTGAGGGAAGTTTAGCAACCAGAAGGGAAAGCTAATTAGAGATTTCATGGCGATGGAGGGGGCAGTCTGGGGTCCGTGCTGAGGGACATGTTTGCCCCTCCGACCAACCTGCCTCTGGGCTCGCTGCCACGGAAGCTGACGTGACTGACATTGATTCACAGAGAAGCGAGCTCAGAAACCCAAATTCATTTGTTAACTGATTATTGAGCACTTACTTACTGCTACTCTCCGAATAGTAATAAAAAGGACGCAGGGATGTGCTTTCCAAAGCACCCATCTCACAACCAGGTTTCTGTCTTGAAACCAAAAATTTTCATCATGGAGGAGATGTGCAAATGGACAGGAACAAAACCAAACACTCACTAGGAACAAAGACTCCTACGCCTGCTTTCCACGTCTGCCTAAGAACAGCTCTATGGCCTCTGGGTCAAACGTTCTTACGTATAAAATGGGCTTTTTTAGACTACCTCGAAGCTCCACCAAGTTCTACAGTAGGGAGAAATACATGAAATGCATTTTTAAATACCCATACATTTTTGAAAAGAACATTTTCCTGTGATTTTGGGGTGGCACAGGAATCATCCCAGATGGGCAGAGGGGAAGTTAGCACCAGGATTACTAGAACCCCACAATGGAAGAATGAGGAAGGACAGAGGAGACTGCTTTCTTAGCACTCTTTAGCCAGAGGACGCTGGGGCCCAGTGAGACGAGGATCTGCACAAGAGTCACGCTATCTAAACCCAAGTCTCCACCATCATCATCCTTACCAAACCCTCCTTCGCTTTGTCTTTCCTAGCATTTATTTTCATCTGGCATACACTGGTTCTCGATCTCTCCCTACAAGCAGGCACGTTTCTCGAAAGCACGGACTTTGTCCCTTTGGTTCACTGCCTGCCCCAGAGCCTGTGGGGACCTAGAGCATAGTGGGGCTCAGATCCTGGTTGTGAAGCAAGTTCTCCTCAGCAGTCAGCAGTGGGGTGGGCAGGAAAGGCCCAGGCCTCCTTTCTGCAGATCCGGGCATTTTTAACAGACTCTTAAGTTCCGAGGCCCCGTTGCCAGAACTGTGGCCCCGGGCAGTCTGAAGAGGTTATTTTTCTCTTGAGACCTGAATTATCCCTGTTGATCTGTGAGAGACGTGGGACAGTCAAGGCCATGGTCTGGGGTCAGGAGTGGAGGACGCACGGGGCAGGAGGAAGGAGGAAGCAAGTTGTCCTACTCAGGCACGGACACCAGCCCTTGGTAAAAAGAATCTTTAAAAACATGGCCTGTTTTCTGTTCTGTGACGTTAAGGCCTAGTTTTCTCTTTCCATTCTGACTGCCTCTGCCTCTCACCCCAAGCCTGTGCTCATGACTTCTATCCCGAACCCTTAATCCTAGACCCACCCACCACCTGAATCGACTCTATTATTTCAGAGTGATTTTTTTGAAGATGCTATTTTTTACCGCCGGTCCAAGCAGCAGGATTTTTTGGATGCCAACACCACCTCGGACTGCCTTGCAAGCCCCCCGAAATCCGGTTCCAGCCTGTCTTGCCAGCCTCATTGCCCCTGCCTTGTTCACTTGAACAGGTTCCTTCAACAGCCTGACTTGTGACTCCCTTTGCTCTAACACTCCTCTATCCAAGCCTGCCATTGCCACCCTGCTCTGCTCACCCAGGCTCTACAGATTTTTCGAGACTACCGGCAAACGCTTTGCAGGCCTGCATTCACCAGGGGTAAGTCTGAGCCGGCACACGCTGGCCGGGGACAGCCGACTCACATTTCTCCCCAGTTGTGCGCTCCCCGATATCCCGCTATAACTCGAAATCGGCGATGGGAAAATACACTACAGAAATGGGTCATTTTACAAATTGGGGCATTCCCCCTCCCCCCAGAGAGCCGGTTGTTAAACAGTTCCCAGTATACCAGGGTCACACCGTCCACTGTTCTTAAAATCTTAATCTTTCTCTTAATCTGGCCATTGAAACCCATGGATAGGGCTACAAATCTATCTGTGATACTTATGCACATATATGTATGACCTTGACAACCAGACGATACGCTCTTCAAGGGAAAGGACCAGGTGTTATTCCTTTATGGGGGGCTATGAGAAATGGAAATAGGACCCTACCTCAATGGACACCGCCCTGTTCTTGGCACTCACGCTGTGGATCTCCTCGATGAACAAGCTTTGCATGGTGGAACCATTCATGGGTGTCTGTGGGGACTGTGGAGCCTGAGCCGACGACGGCAGAGCGGAGGTCCCTTCCTGGGTAGCGGTGGGAGGGCCGGCCGGGTGAGGACCGGCCCCTGCGGGCAGGTGCTGGGCGGGGTTCAGCAGGGCGGCGGAGTGCTGGGAGGGCTGGATGACCACGGCAGAACTCTGTGCGTGGTGAACGGTCAAGGGCACCACTTCCGACTTCACATCGCCCGGGACTCCTGCCGCGTGGAGGGGCTGGCCCGAGGCGTGGGGCGCCTCCTCTTGGCTCTTCAGGACTTCGGCGGCCGTGGCCTTCTCCATCGCCACATACTGAGCGGCCTGGGCCACGTCTGTACCTTTCAAGAGTCCGTCGGTGACGTGTCTGGGAGAGACCAGGCACAGCAGCATTAACTCTTACAATGGGTAGCCTGCATTTTATTTTTATGGCATGAACTTGAACGCTGTGTCATCCCAAAGCCAGGCAGGCTGTTGCTGCAGAATTAAGACATTCGAAAACCCCGAGTAGCCGCTCAGTGCTGAGGGTTTCCATAGCAACTTCCTAATGCCCTCCAGTTGTCTCCTGGCTGTCTCTGGTAGCCGATTTCTCAGTCCTTCCCTTAAGATAGGGTCTGTCTCTCCCTTTCCACTAGCTCCATCAAGCCCAGCCAGACACCGTTCCGTCACTATTTGCATGGTGGCGACACACAGTGAACACAGGACCCTAACAAGAACTCCTGTACCCAGTCCTGGGAACAGTCCTGGCAGAGGGACAGCCCTCAGACAGGCTCAGTTCCAACCCCCAAAGCTTCCTGATCCCTCCAAGCTCTCCTCCTTTCACTGCTGAACCCCTGCGGAAGGCAGCTCCTACAGCTGACCCCTGAACAGCGTGGGGTGGGTTAGGGTCCTGACCCCCTACACGGTTGAGAATCACAGTATAACTTTTGTCACCCCCCCAAAAAAAACCTAACTACTAATTGCCTACTATTGACCAGAAGCCTTATCTAGATCATAAACAGTTGAATCACATATATTTTGTACATTATTGCTGTATTCTTACAATAAAGGAAGAAAAGAAAATATTAAGAAAATCACAAGGAAAAGAAAATATATTTTACAGTATTGCCCTGTATTTATAAAAAAAAAAAAAAATTTACACAAGCGGACCCGTGCAGCTGAGACCCGAGTTGTTCAAGGGTCTACTGCATTCTAACTCCTTGGGTTTGCTCTTCATGTCGTTCAGCCTCGTGTGATCAGGCTGTTCCACCTGGACTTGACCAAGCCTTTCTGCAAGGTCGACCGCGACTTCAAATCTAGCAGCTGGGTTAGTCCTCAACCTCCTCTGCTTTTTGGGGTCTTGTCACGCTATTTGTTGATTTGGATGCGGCTTTGGGGTCAGGCAGACCTGTGCCTGAATGTCATCATTCCTGCCACGTTCTAGCCGTGTGATGTTGGGAACCTCATCTTTCTGAGCCTCACATGGTTTTCTATAAAATGTAATAACGATGAGGACGAGGACAAGAGGATGAGAATGCCTTCTAAGGCCTTCCTTGCAGGTTATTGTTAGGATCAACATAGTTCTAGGTCAGACGATGTCCAACTTGACTGATAACCTTTAATTGGTGCCTCAATTCATTATTAAAATGCTTTCTCTCTTTTTTTGATTTGAAAAGAAGACCTTGCCTTTGTGACCCTCCTCTGCTACTCACTTCTGTTTCTTTTACCGACCCTGTTCCTTCGATCCCCAAGGATCCCCAAGGATCTGTTCCCCTCTTTCTGTCTCATGCTACTGTGCCCTTTCTTCCACTGCCACGAGTCACCTTCATGAAAGCAACTTCGAGCTCTAGATCTCTCCCCCCCCCTGCCCCCCCCCCCCCCCCCCCGCCCCCAGGGTTGGGCAGTCCCGCACCCCGAATATTGTGAGCCATTCTTCAACTCTAACGTGTTCCTGAAAAGAACCACCTTCAAACGATTAAAAAAAAGGAAAAAAAAAAAAAAAAAAAAAAAAATTTTCCCGGGTTGCTAAAGTTTAGCCCCAGGGGGGGGCCAAGGGCGCGAAGACTGGAGACCTCCGGTCACAGCGCAACAGAGTAAGTGCGGTGGGAAGGAGTCGCTGCCTCGCCTCCGGACGTTTCCCCACCCCCCCCCAGGAGGCCCGGTTACCTCCGCAGCATGGTCAAGGTGTCGGTCATGCTTCGCACCCTCTGCAGGAGACTGTCCAGCCTGTGGGGCTCCTCCTTCAGAAACCGCACGGCCTCCACTTCGATGCGTAAGATGGCTCGCATCTTGTTCTGTAGGGTTGGGAATTCTCCTGCAGGCCAAGAGCCAAGCCAGAGGGTGAGCCGCCGGAGAGGCAGGACGTGGAGCCCCCACCCCGCGTGCGCACTGGCCAGGCTCGGAAGCGCGGGGCTCATGCGCTCCGCACGCATCTTCGGGAGACAGCCGCCTGTCATTAGTGTGTCCCTTCGTCCTGAATCTTACAGGGTATTTAGGGTACTTGCCTGTTTCGTTCAGTGAGGCATCCCCGGTGCCTAGAACGCTGCCCGGCACACGTAGGTACTTGCGGACTATGTGCACGCACACAGGTATGAATGACGCATCCTTCACTACTGGACAGATTTTTTAACCCCCTCCCCCCCCCCCCCCCCCCCCCCCCCCCCCCCCCCCCCCCAGGAGAAGGGCTCCGGACTTCTCCCTTCAAGGAGGACACTCACCTTTCAGGGTAGCTACGGCTTCCCCCACTTGTCGCAGGAGGAAAGCCCCGTCTTCCACGTCTTTTAGAGTGACCACTCGGCTGGCGGATGTAGAGTCCTTCTTCAAGTCTTCAACAAAGTCTTCCAGCTCACTGCGAGGGGCAGGGGAGGAGCAGACCGGCAGATGGGGGTGAACACTGGGTCCGCAAAAAGAGCGGCTGCAGTAGCCAAGGGCTTGTCCCCGCCTCCCCGGGCTTCTGCGAAGATGGCAGCTCACAAGAGCGGCTCGGTCCGGCTTAAATATTCCGCTGGGGTGTAAGGCAGGTGCAAGGGAGTTTTCCCAGGGCCTGTTCATGGGGACACCCCTTCTTTATTTTTTATTTTATTTTTTCTTTATTTCTTTATTTCCAGTGGGGATACCGATGCCAACTAAGGGACGGGTGTTGTGCACTTTGTAACATGACAGAGGGGATCGACTGTATGCACTGTAGCGGGGCAAAAGGAGGGATCCCGATGGGTTTATATCAGCCTTCTCAACTTGGAACTTGGTATTTGGGGCTGGATAATCCCTCCTTGTGGGAGCCTGCCCTGTACAGTGTGGGGTGTTCAACAGCATCCCAGCCCTCTAGCTACTAGACGCTAGTAGCACCTGCCCCGAGCCTGTGACAAACAAGGATGTCTCTAGGTGGTGGGAAATGTCCTTGGAGGTGGGGAGGGAGAGGAGGGGAGGGAAGCAAACTTGCGCCTGATCAAGAACCTCTAGCTTACACTGATGATCTCATTAATAGGGACCGACTTTCCACTCCAAGCTACAGAGGAAAAATGATCACAGATCTGATTTCTGGTGTGTCTGTATGTGTAGGAGAGAGTGTGGAGAAACACACACACACCCACACACACACACCCTAAGGTACTGCTAGAGTTCCAACAGGACTGAATTAAGGTCTTCCGCTTCAAAACGCAAACCAACCAACCACCCAACCAAACGACAACGTCCTGTCTCCTGGGCACATTACTAACCCTGTCCTAAACACATGTTCGTATCACTTCCATTTGCCTGTAAACCGGACAACAGAAAGCTTCTCTCTTAAAGAAGGTGAAGGAAAAGGATGTTGAGAGATGAAGAACCACTAGGTGGCAGTAGGCGACCAACATTCCACCTGCCGCTAGCGCAGAGCTTAGAGCAGGGGAGGAAGACAGTGGATCTGGAAGAAAAAAAAAAAAAAAGGAAGGAAGGAAGGAAGGAAGAAAGAAAAAGAAAGAGAGAGAGAAAGAGGAAGAGAAAGAGAAATAGAAAAATGGAAAGAAAAGGAAAAAGAAAAAAAAGAAAAAGAAAAAGGAAAAAAAAAAAAAAGGTCTGCCCGGACCCTTCCCTCAAAGTGGGCGCGCAGGCGGGAGTTACGGATGTCACAGCCTCTGCGGGAGGGACTCGGGCGGGATGCTATGTATGTTTCACAGGGGCCTTGGACCAAACAACAAATTCATCCGCCACAGAGAAGCGGGATGGGGCTTTTGGTGACGTCTTTTATTCTGTTAGGGAAAAGGAACCCAGCTGCCTGTGATTCCTTCAGATGAAATGATGCAACTTCAAACCAAAAGGGAAAGCCTTTTCCGCTCCCTGTCCACACCGTGAGCTACGGAGAGGTGACCGGTGTTCTGTGTCCCACCCACAGAAACTTCCTACAGCTGCCACATCCCTGAGGGGAGGACGTGTGCCGTCCTTCCAAGGAGCTCTAAAAATGGCGCCTGTGTGTTATTTGAAATGAAAAGTTATTTTCCATTTCATCATCAAACTGAAATATTAAGAGTGCACACAGGACACACTGTCGAGTCCTTCCAAGTTTTGAGGGAAGAGCAAAGACCCAAATGTTATCACGGTTCCATTAAAAACCCACCAGCTTGCCAGGCTGTAATTAATAGTCCTAGGAGCTATCATCTGACCCAGAGTCGGTCTGCCTAAAATTCTATTTTAATCTCTTCTACACAGTGTGCTTCTTGGATTTCATAACTCTGCACACAGGAGACCCCTAAATGTCACAGCTTTTCCTTTGTTGATCAAGGAATACATACAAAAGTGTACTGATATTATCGTATACAACAATGTCACTTCTGTTCACACGTTCATGCTGTTAGAAAGCAGTCGGATCAAATGTGTTCCTTCACAACGTAACAGAGATCAGGGAGCTAAAATGAGTGCTGAAAACAATTTTTCAATATTATGTACTCAATGTGACTTTTGAGATGTGAACTCTGCTCAAAGGAATGCCAGATGTTCCCAGATGCTGTGGTTTACATGTAAATCTGTTCTATTTGTGTAAGTTGCTTTTCCTTCTACCTTAGTTAAAAAGAAGCATCAATTTGTTGAACTATGTTTCATCTATTATTAGAAACCCAATTATTATTTCCAAATGGAAACCCACCAAAGAGAGAGGATCTTGATTCAACTTCTCTCCATAGTTCTAGACCCAAATTTCATTTCTCTGCCATCTGAATGGCTCACCAGCAACTTACCCTAACGTGACGCCCAAGGGAATTTATTTTCCTGTGTGTCTGTGTGTGTGTGTGTTTAAGGACAAAAACAGGGGAAGGGAGGGGAGGGAGAGGAGATAATTGTTTTCCTAATGTTCCAGAGTTGAAATTTCAGGCTGTCTTTTGTAACCCTCTCTCAGTCGTTACTCGGATCCCCTACTCAGTCCCCTGCGTTTGATTTCTCTTCCCATTCCTATTTCTCCTCTTTGATCCAGGCCTTACTGACTTTTGACTGACTGTTACTGCCCTTCCAATAAGGCTTCCCTGACATTGGTGTTTCCCCCGCCATCTGTCCTATACGTGATCACCAGAGGGACCTTTCTGAAATACAGCTCTGACTTCACTACCTCCTTGATCAGAAAACATCAGCACCTCCTCCTCAGGCCAGCAGTAACTGTCCAATGTTAAGACATTTCGGAACGTCCTCTGTAGCTTCCTAAAATGCACATTCTCAAGCTCCATCCAGAGATGTTCTGAACCTGGGGTTGGACCCAGGAGCTTTCAAGAAAAGCCAGGGATCTAGGTGATCTCGGTAAACGCAGGCCCCACGGACGTCAGCAAGCATGCTGGGCCTGAGTGTGGTCTCAGATACGGGCAGTCACCGAGCAAACGGGAACGGCATTACCCACATAGGAGACACGATCTAGACCCACATTGGACCCCGCTCTCCTGGCAGAATGCATGACCCGAAGTTCTCCAAGGACATCTTGTGCCTTCCCCATCCTGAGACAGGCTGGATCATAGGCTTCCTCTGCCCAGGAGCCCCCCATCCCCTTCCAGTCTCCACTGACGGAACCCCACCTGTCCTCCAGGCCAGCCTGGTTCAGTTTAACAAGCCACTTGTGACCCAACTACACACAGGGCCTGGGCCTGGGCACACATGAATAACTTCAGGTTCAGTCTTCTTGATCCCTGGGGCCCAGAGGAATCTCTCTTTTGTGTGGGTTCACCCAGCACCTGTGAGTCATCTGTTTTGTGCTCTACACATACTCATACGTTTGGCTTCATGAGACTGGAGTTCCTCAGCAGCCCCGTGCCTGACTTCCCCGTGTGGGGCCCGCCCACAGTGTCTCCCCACCGTACGCTCCCCACTCTGCTTCCTATCTCACTCTCGGGCGGGGCTGCTGGTCGCAGGCTAGGATTGACGCTGAAGATGCTTTTTCTAGGCCAGAAGCAAGAAAATGTCCTTTTTTCATAATTCAATTGGAAAAATGACGAAATATTCTGAAAAGGCAATATATTTTTAAAGACGTTTTCAAGAAGAATCTTAACACCTCGAATGAGACAACTGGGCTGTCACAAAAACATTTCTGACGAACAGCCTTATCGCCTCACGGTGGGTGATCGACTGTCCACAAATGCATCGACTACGTAAGATTTTGGAAGGGATTTTGAGATGTCCGTCAACGGTAGCGAAATTTCATTTTTGAGGAAAGTAAGAACTCTATAATTGATTTCTAACCCCCCTCTGGACGGCTACTGAGAGGAATATTCTATTTTTAATGAGACACGCGGGGTTGGCATCTGAGGAGTACAAGCTCAAGCATCAAACAGATTATAGAATTAACCCTTTCCATCCCTTTCCATGAAGACTTCTGGACCTTCTGCTCATGAGAAGAATGCAGAAGTTGCCTCTTTATATTCCCAATTGGGGAGATTTAAGAAGCGAATTACTGACAGCAGGAGAACGCAGAAAAATTACTATTCATGATCCTAGAAGGTGAAATCATTCTATGATAAACATTCATTGCATAACAAAACATAGATTACCATAAAAGATGGGCCTGCCTTAGTGACAGGGGTAGAAATGAACTGCTCGTTTCAATAGTGGGACTTGATAGATGCTTTCAATAAGAACCTCACGGAAGATGGGTAACTTTTAAGGAGGCATCTTTCATTCCTGGATCACACATACTTTACATCTGAATTCTTCTTTTGCGCTTTTAACTATCGTTGAATAATAGGAAGATAATTTTAACACTGTGATTTTGGCTATTCGTTTTCATTTACTGAGATTAAAGGCAGACTCCCCATTTATCATCGGGTCTTGCCATTTGCTTCCTTTCATTTGCTGTGCTGCTGAGCCCTACAAAGGAGCATGGTGCTCCGGCTTCTCAAGAGAGGGGCGCAGGTGAACTTTCTGGGTCTGGATAGCGCTAAGGGTCCACGGAGGCCCGGAAGGGATAGGGCTCTAACTTGCACATAGTAGATGCTCAATAAAGAGAGAAGGAGAGAGCACCACCAAGGAAGGGCTTTGTCGTCGGCGAGGACAGGGCCCTCTCCGGGTTACACAGCGTGACACGCGACAGGTGTCCCGCACTCACCACAGCTTCTTGACAATCCTCTCCTCCTCGTGTAGGTATCTCTGCCTCTCTTGCTCCACCAGGACGCGTTGTCGCTGGACGGGGTCCTCCAGCCTCTTCATGGTTTCAATCACTTTGCCACTGATTTCCAGCTCAGCCTTCTTCATCATGGCCCTCAGCAGTTCCTGGTTCTGTAGCTGTCAAACAAAAGAAATCAACCTCAGCTGGGCTCTGGCTGCCTGAGAGTCTTGGGAAGTGGGTCTGGGGAAATAGCCCTGCAGCTGAGTGTTTATTTCCAGCAAGAAAGGGAAGGAAGTGACAATTGTGTATAATATTGCTACTTTAACCACCGTCTGGGGTTCGGCTGCGAACTGACCCAACCAGACGTTTGTGTCTGTGTCTGCAAAAAAACAGGAGCCTTTCTAGACTCTGGTCAGTGCCTTGTGGGCAACAGGCATAAACTCTCATTGACGTGTTTTTATAGGGAGCAGCGGAGAACACCAGGTTTGGAGCCAAGCAATTGTTTGGGATGGTTTTGTAGACCTATAGAGGCACCTGGGAATCGTTTGCAAGCCCCGAACTAAAACACAGAACTAAGCGTGTGATAACGCAGAACCCAGTGGCCCAAGCCACCCTCCTTGCACCCGTGTGACCTCAGGAAACATCACTTTCTCTTTCTCAGTGCAAGACTTCAGCTGCAAAAGTGGGACCTTTAGGAGTACGGCTTATGGTGTTAGGGGAACATCTGTAACGTTGGGAGAGCTACTCCTTACACCAAAATACTTCTTCCTGCCTGCTCTGGCCTCCTCCCATCACAGTGCCCAAAGTACCCTTATGACTTGGTCTTTTAGATCTCAAAGGCTTCTTTTTTTTTTTTAAACCTTTGACCCCCTTCATCCATTTCTCATACCCCTTCCTCTAGCAACCACCAGTTTGTGAGGTTTTTTTCTTTTTTTTAATTCCACCTGTAAGAGAGGTTGCATGATATTTGTCCTTCTCTGACTCCTTTCACTTAGCATTATGTCCTCACGGTCCATCCATATTGGCACAAAAGGTAAGATTTCATTCTTTTTTTAATGGCTGAATAATATTCCATGGTATATATACACCTTCTTTTTATACTTTTATTTTTTAATTTTTATTACTGAAGTTGACATCCAGTGTTATATTAGTTTCAGGTGTACAGCACAGTGACAACAATTCTATACACTCAGTACTCAGTACAGTCAGTGTAGTCGCCACACACTATTGTGTCAACATTACTGACCATTCACCCATTGACAGACACTTTGGTTTCCATATTTTGGCTACTGTAAATAGTGCAGTAGTGAACACAGGAGTGCATACGTCTGAGTTACTATCTTTGCTCTAAAATACCCAGAAATGGAATTGTCGGGTTATATGGTAATTCTACTTTTATTTTTTGAGAAACCTCCATGTTGTTTTCCACAATGGCTGCCCAATTTGCCTTCCCACCAAGAGTGCATGAGGATTCCTTTTTCTCCACATCCCCACGAGCATTTTTTACTCCTTGTCTTTTTGATACTAGCCCATTCTGACAGATGTGAGGTGACTGTGGTTTTCATTTGCATCTCCCTGATGATGAACAGAGTTGAGTATCTTTTCATGTACCTGTTGGTCATGTGTCTTCTTAGGAAAAATATCTATTCAGACCTGCCATTTAAAAAAAACTGAATTGTTTGGGTTTTTTGGTATTGAGTTATACATACTCTGGATACTAACCTCTTATCAAATACATGATTTGCAAATATTTTGTCCCATTCAAGAGGCTGCCTTTTCATTTTGTTGATGGTCTCCTTTGCTGTGCAGAAGCTGTTTACTCTGAGGTAGTCCCGTGGATTTTTTTCTTTTGTTGCTTCTACATTTGGTCTTAGTTTCAAAAAATCATTGCCAAGACCTCTGTCAAGGAGATTACCACCTGTGTTTTTTTCTAGGAATCTCATAGTTTCAGGTCTTATGTGCCAGTCTTAAATCCATTTCAGAGCCAATTTTTGCATTTGGTGTAAGATGGTGGTCCGGCGTCATTCTTTTTGCATGAGGCTGTCCGGTCTTCCCAGCACCGTTAAACTGAAGAAACTGTTCTTTCCTTATTGTCTATTCTTGGCTCCTTTATCATAAATTAATTGACCATATATGTGTGGGACCATTTTTCTGGGCTCTGTATTCTATTGCATTGATCTGTGTGTCTGTATTTATTTATTTATTTTTTAAAAGATTTTATTTATTTATTTGACAGACAGAGATCACAAGTAGGCAGAGAGACAGGCAGAGAGAGGGTGAAGCAGGCTCCCTACTGAGCAGAGAGCCCGATGCGGGGCTCGATCCCACAACCTTGGGATAATGACCTGAGCCAAAGGCAGAGGCTTTAACCCACTGAGCCACCCAGGCGTCCCTGCGTGTCTGTATTTATGACAATACCGTACTATGTTGATTCTTATAGCTTTGCAATGTTTTTTGAAATCAGGCCATGTGATGCCTCTAGGTTTGTTCTTTCTCAGGGTGGCTTTGGGCTCTTTGGGGTCTTTTGTGGTTCCACTTTGGATCAAACCCCCAGCCCTGACTACTATGAGACCTGGGCATGTTACTTAGCCTCACTTGGTCTCCATTTCCTTGTCTTCAAGGATGAGGAGGATGGATTCACCTCCCTTGCTAGAGCTTGTCTGAGCATTGAAGGAAATACTGCTCGATCTTGAACAGGTACTCAACAAATGTAGACTTGGCTCTGGACTATTTCAGCGTTATCAGTTAGAAGAGAATCTGTGTCCCTCTTGCTTATACAGGTCCATGTACCCAAAATCACGTGATCACAGACCCCTGAAACAGTACTTGATGTTGATGGTTGCATCAGTACCTATATAGGTACTGATGGTTGCAATGATGATGATTCCAGATGAGCTCTAAGCCTCTCGGCAATTCACTCTTTTTTCCTGGATTTTACGCAGGCTTGCATGCATAATATCACAACAGCCATATAGTTTCCAGAGCACTCTCTTTTATGAGCCTACAGAGTATACCATGTGGCTTGCACCTGACTTCTTAGGAATCTAGTCAAATACTTGAGTCCTGTTGCTAAGTCCTGCATTCAGTATTTCTCTGGGGCAGGACAGTTCTCTGATAGCGTATCCATCAAGGGCATTTCTTCGGTCAGCTTTGAAGACAGTAGTTACATTATACCTATTACATTCTCCTTAAAGTTTCCCTGAAATTTCAATGAGCTGTTACTGGTTTGTTCTGTTCTGTTTCCTGGTTTCATGGACGGTAGGACAACTACTGTGTATCACCTCCGGAGAGTGAGGTCTTTGTCGGCTGTCCATTACTATGTGCAAATGCCACGTGACCCTCAACTCAACACTTCTCCGTGTCATCCAGTTTTGCTGAATACAGAGAAAACATTTCAACATGGGCAACAAGCAGAGCCACCATCCTGTTCCAGGCCCAGCTCTGTACCGGTGGGCCATCTGGAAAGAGACTGCCTGCGTTCAGTTTCTAGTTTTACCCCTCAGTAGCCATGTTGTGGGCAACTTAGTAATCTCTCTGTGTCTCTCCATAAGAAGGGGCAATCTTCGTTCCTATCTCAGAGGCTGGGAAGGGAGATTCAGTGAGGGAATAATGTGCTTATCACAGCGTCTGGCACAAACCTGGCCGCGGGGGTGGGGCCTGCCATTTTGTCTGGGAGGGACCAAATAAAAATGGGCCACTCTTGGGTTACCTTCTTTTCTTTTCTTTTTTTTTTAAAGATTTTATTTATTTATTTGACAGATAGAGATCACAAGTAGGCAGAGAGAGAGAGAGAGGAGGAAGCAGGCTCCCCGCTGAGCAGAGAGCCTGATGTGGGGCTCGATCCCAGTACGCTGGTATCATGACCTGAGCTGAAGGCAGAGGCTTAACCCACTGAGCCACCCAGGCGCCCCTTGGGTTACCTTCTTGAATGACTCATAATTATGCCCTCATTGTTTCTGCTAATCACGTGTTTTTATTGTGGTCTTAAAAACAGCCACTATATTGCTGAAAGTCACCATGTATGGAAACAGTGCATGGAGGGCGAGTTCCTCCCTTGCCCTCTGGAGTGACAACTCTGCCTACAAGGCATGGGGGAGTCTGGCCCTTTCCCACATCACCTGTCTCCTCCCATTATAGGCAGCTGGCAATCCCTGCTTTAGCCACACCAACGTCCTTTCTGGCCTTCTGACTGGCTAGGCTCCTTTCTGCCACAGGGACTTTGCACCTGCAATATCCTCCATTTCTGCAGTGACTCCAGGACATAGGGTCGCTCACAGCAGGTACTTGATAAATACTGATAAATGCACGAGTTAGGCAGTAATGCCAATGATGATGAACAACGGAGAATCTGAAATTCCTTCCTTGACGGTAGACATATGGGCTGGCCCACAGGCTCAGATATGCCTTGGGCTCAGCTCTCATGCCCTGCCGTGCTCTGACAACAGTGTTGCTGAATACACATGGCAACACTGCCAGGTACCAAAATGACACGTTTAAATGATGCGGGGTCGCAGGTATGCACGGGATAAGTAAGTAGATGATTAAGTGTGTTGAAAAGTGACTGACACCTGGGTCCTACCCCCAACCCCCAAGAGATTCTGATTTAACTGTTCTTCTGTGCAGCCTGGGCATGGGGAATTCTTTCAGCTTCTCAGATGATTCTGATGTGCCACCAAGGATAAGTGTAACAGCCTCCCCATTCGAGAAAAGGACTCTCTAATGGAGAGATGATATCACTGTGCCATGAGCTCGGTACACAGCCCTCTGTCCCGAATCCTCCCGCCAAACCCCACAGACAAGTTCCAAATAAATTATGGTCCCATTAGCAGTGGGTATTAATAGTGGCTATCGGGTTGGAAATTGCCACTGGAATATTTAAAATTCTTAAAATTGAAATTTGGAAGATGGGAAAAGGGAAGCCCAGAGGTCATGTGACTTGTTCCAGGTCCCTCAGTCATTAAGGGCAGAATCAGGGTGAGAATTGAAGTATTTTTAATTCAACCCGGTAATTTTTCAAGCCCCCCAGTTGCTCTGCTAACAAGGCAGGGACATGTCTGTTTTATTCCCAGCCACAAGCCCAGTTTCTAGCACACAGGAGGTACTGACACATATGGGCCGTACACAGGAGTTTCAACCGGACATTACTTAGAAACCTACAGACAGTGGAAGAACCGCA